CCCCAAAACCCCAAAACCCCAAAACCCCAAAACCCCTTAGAGGTTGTGGATGTAGAAAATAAATAATAAGTATGAGAGGATCCTTATTTTTAAACAAGTCTCTTGCCTTCGCTGCTTGCTGAGCTGGAGCAGGAATTTACTATCAGTACAACCTATCTAGAGCAACCATGTGGAAAGACAACGGTAACAGAGTATATGCTTGGGGAGCTGGAATGCATGGCCAGCTCGGTTTGGGAGAAGAACAATTCTCAGTTGATGTCCCAACAGAGGTTGAAGAACTATCTGACAAAAATATCATTAAAATCACAGCAGGAGGAGACATCTCAGCTGCTCTCTCTGACGAAGGAGATATTTATCTATTCGGTAAGACTAAAGGAGGCGCAATGGGAGGATCTGGAAAGACATTTACAACCAACTTAACTCTTCCGACTCTATTCGAGTTCCAGGATGCCAAATTTAAGCATGTTTCTTGTGGAAGAACTCACTGTGCAGCCATTACCAACGACGGAAGAATAGTCACATGGGGAAATCCGGATAACGGAAAGCTTGGCCATGGAGAAACTAGCACTGAGAAAGCCTACAAACCAAAGAATTACGCTGACAGAGCCGAAGCTGACTTCGTCAATGGAGAACTTGAAGGAAAGAAGATTGCACTAGTCGAGTGCGGGTTTAACATCACTGTCGCTCTGACTGAAGATGGTGATGTATATTCATGGGGTTTTGGCAGAGAAGGAGCCTTGGGTCATGGAGACTATGAAGACACCTATCTCCCCAAGAAAATTGATTCCTTAAGCAATATCACAGATATTAGATGTGGAGGAGATTTCATTCTTTGTAAGGATAAAGATGGAAATCTTTATTCTTCTGGAAAGAATACCTATGGACAACTTGGTATTACTGGACAGAACGCATATAAGGAATGAGTCCCGACTAAGGTAGGGTTATCAAGGCTTGCATCCCCAGCACAGTTCTCATGCGGAGAAGAACACTGCTCGGTAATATCCACCTCGGGAACTATCTGGACTTGGGGATATGGCAATGATGGACAGCTTGGCCATGGAAATAAAAATAGTTTGAGTACCCCCAAACATATTAAGGGATTCAAAGATATAGTCTCATCATCTTGTGGAGGAGGACATTCTGGATTCATCCTTGGTAGCGGAGAACTATATATGTACGGAAGAGGAAGAGATGGACAACTTGGAAGAGGAGATGTTATTGAGAGCATGGCCGCTTATAGAACAGAACCTTTGAGAGTAGAATATTTGTTCAAAAACGAGATAAAGGCAAAGCAGTTGGCATTGGGAGCAAATCACTCCATATCTCTTGTCTCTATAGATAATTAATTGATTATTCTACAAATGAAAGACTTATGGGGTTTTGGGGTTTTGGGGTTTTGGGGTTTTGGGGTTTTGGGG